CTACCTGATATATTCACCTGAGCTGGGATAAAGTGAACTCTGGTGATAATGCAGAAGACTTCACCTGAAACTGTATATAGAAGGAGAATTAAACAAGGCTAGATTTTATTTATTTTTTCTAATGCAAATGTATACATGTAAAATTATAAATAGTTCGAAAATAATAGGGTTTTTCTCTGTTGTGTTTTAGTGATGAGGTTTTTGAATAGTTAATTAGGGCCTATGGGTATTAATGGGACTTAGTGACGTCACGTATTAATGGGCATTTTAGTAAGCCTTTCTAGTAGAATATGAATGTTTATATGACTCATTTAATAGGAATAGGAATGTATATATGAATCAATTAGTAGAAATATGATTGTTTATATGAATCAATTAGTAGGGATATGATGTTTATATGAATCAATTATTAGGGATATGAATGTTTATACGACTCGTTGAATGGGAATATGAATGTTTATATGAATCAATTAGTATAAATATGAATGTTTATACGTAGGAGAGTCTTCTTGGTGTTGATAAATCACATCTTCTGTCGCTTACCTTATTCTTATCTGTTATAAAACCGCTACGGAGATTTATCATATTTATGTAACAGGGAATTTATGCAACGAGGGATTTCACGTAATTCCTAAAACGTGAGGATGTGAGTTTGGTCTTCATAGCGTTCTTAACCCACACTACACTGACCCACATTTGCTTCTTCGCCTTTGTTTTATTATTATTTGTCCTGTCTTTTTGGTTCTGATCCTCTTCCTCCTCATCTTCTATTTTCGACTGTTTTCCTTACCTCTTCCTTTGGTTCTCCTGTTTCTTTTATCTTTCTTTCTTATCTTTATTTCTCCATCTCCCTCCCGTCTCCTCATTTCTCATTCGTTTTTTTAGTGATTATCCTTACCTCTTTCTTCGCTTCTCTTGGTTCTTTTATATTTCCATAATCTATTTTCATCCCTCCTCCTCCTCCCCTTTCCTTCGCCTTGTCTTCCTCCCCTTCATTCTCCTTGTCTTCCTCCTTTTCCATGTCTTCCTCCTCGTCCTCCTCCTCGTCCTCCTCCTCGTCCTCCTCCTCGTCTTCCTCCTCGTCTTCCTCCTCGTCTTCCTCCTCGTCTTCCTCCTCGTCCTCCTCCTCGTCTTCCTCCTCGTCTTCCTCCTCGTCTTCCTCCTCGTCTTCCTCCTCGTCCTCCTCCTCGTCTTCCTCCTCGTCTTCCTTCTCGTCTTCCTCCTCGTCTTCCTCCTCCTCCTCCTCCTCCTCCTCCTCCTCGTCTTCCTCCTCCTCCTCGTCTTCCTCCTCCTCCACGTCTTCCTCCTCCTCCTCGTCTTCCCCTCTCCTGCCCTCCCTCCCATCTTCCCCCTCCTCCTTATCTTCTTCCTCGTCTCCTCGCCGTCACCTACCGCGGCTTTACATTCCTCAAAATTTTGCCCAAGGTCGTCAGCATATTTGGTTCAAGGTCCTTCCAAGAACTGCCAGGAAGGAAGGAATTTCTAGCGTATTTTATTGTAATGCAGTGTGTGTGTTTGTGCGTGCGTGCGTGTGTGTGTGTGTGTGTGTGTGTGTGTGTGCGTGTGTGTGTGTGTGTGTGAGGAGAGAGATAGAGAGAGATGGTCGCTGGTAGAAGGTTAAGAGGCGTGGCTCATCATTATTTAAGTGATGAAGCCAAGAACGTTCGCCATACCGTCTCGAGATTTAAACCATGGAATGCAATTATTTCAATCGGTTGTGTTTTTGTTTAACTGTCATTACAAACACTTAGATTTATAAACTGTGTGTATGAGTTGGTAGTAGAGGTTATCGTTTTAAGGTGGGGTGGTTAAGGTGCAATAAGACGATGATCAAAATACCTAGTGCGGTAGCTGCTCACTTGATCAATACGGAAGCTGGAGGGTGCCCGTTTTCTGTGTTGCACCGAGTCACACAGGTTGTAGGTGAGTGTGGGTATGTTTGTAGAGGTTGTGTGTGTGTGTGTGTGTGTGTGTGTGTGTGTGTGTGTGTGTGTGTGTGTGTGTGTGTGTGTGTGTGTGTGTGTGTGTGTGTGTGTGTGTGTGTGTGTGTGTGTGTGTGTGTGTGTGTGTGTGTGTGTGTGTGTGTGTGTGTGTGTGTGTGTGTGTGTGTGTGTGTGTGTGTGTGTGTGTGTGTGTGTGTGTGTGTGTGTGTGTGTGTGTGTGTGTGTGTGTGTGTGTGTGTGTGTGTGTGTGTGTGTGTGTGTGTGTGTGTGTGTGTGTGTGTGTGTGTGTGTGTGTGTGTGTGTGTGTGTGTGTGTGTGTGTGTGTGTGTGTGTGTGTGTGTGTGTGTGTGTGTGTGTGTGTGTGTGTGTGTGTGTGTGTGTGTGTGTGTGTGTGTGTGTGTGTGTGTGTGTGTGTGTGTGTGTGTGTGATGGCTCTTCCTCCACCGATTCTCATTTTTCTTACTTATCTTATTCACCAATAATAAAGAGTTTTTATCTTTATCGTACTTGAATTGGGTTGAAAATCAGAGGAAACGTACCCAAGCCTAACTCAGATAAGACTGTTGTTTTAAGCTCTACTAATGTCTTCCTTTTTCTCCTAAACTTTTTTTTTTCCAGTGTTCCCGGCCACGTCTGCAGCTGGGTACGAGATGAGAACTTTGTATCTTGTAATTACTCAAGTTTATGAGTTGACTCTGATCTCTTGTGTTAGGAAGTAGTTCATTGTTATGGCTGATACCTTTGTTGTCTCTTGTTCTCTTGAGTCGACAATACAACAATAAATTTTTAGGTAGAGGAATTTTGATTTGCTAGTCATGGTTCTAGTAGGGAAAATGGAAGAAAAAAATGGACTCTTAGTTTGTAATTACTTTAACCTTCAGCTAGTGTTATAAAGACGTCCATAGGGTGCCAACTTTTAACATTAATAAGTTGTCATAAGTTAATTTGAACTATTTATTATCTGATGAGCCGAGAGTGGTTTCAGCGCTCTCTCTGTCCTTAGGTTCGTTGGCTCGTCCACCCAGCTGTGAATAGGAACCTAAGTTTACAATTAAGGAAGTGAAGGCGATCGAGTGCAGTGCCGGTCAATCTCTCCCCTCACGACACACTGCTGATTTGTCGACGCGTGGCCAAAAAAATAGACGAGTTTGACCGGGTTTTTTTTTTTATGACACTTCAAGAGCTGGTAAATACTGTATATCTTATTGTGGTCTGTATGTTCGCCCGTCCATCCGTCCTGATAATTTTGTTAAAGTTACTAGCCTTACAGTAACTTGTTTGTGGACTACGTGATAGAGACGAGACATTAATAATGTTTGTTTATTATAAAGGTAAACGTGCTACTTATCATAACCGCAACAACATGTGTCAAATGTTACTTGTCACAATCGTTTTTTCTGCCTGAGGTACAGTACGAGTTTGCAAGTATGTACAGGAAGTTTCACTGTTTGAATGATGAAACACCTGTTAACTAAACACCATAACGCTACCTAGTAGGGGTTAGATTAGATTAGGTTAACGTTGGGGTGTTTAATCAGGTGAAATAAGCTGGGGTGCTTGATCTTCACGTAATCTCTTGATGTTTTATCCCAAGGTAACCATAATTAGTACACTGCTTGTGAATTTGCTGACAGATGTCACTGATGGCTGTTGTGACTTGCGAGGTCGGCCCCCAACTAATCAGTGATGTATAGAACATAACAGTACAATACATTTAAATCATGACTATAGGTATTGTCCATAATGTGTTTGATTTTTTTTTCTTTTTTTTTCTCTTGGTTGGTTGTTGAGTGCCTGGGAGCCAGTAGTCTTCCATGGGGCTGGGGTGCACCACGCATATTATTTGTATATGCTAATATTATTGACTTCTCGAATTCTCACTCGTAATCATTCCAACCTGATATACCTTCTCTCTCTCTCCCTTAAATTCAATGGGGGTGGATTTCTCTCTGGCCGTAATAAAGTGCAAACATAATGGAGTCATACTAACAAGATATGTATTCGGTCATTTTGTAACGAACATTGGGATAACATTTATCCTTTCGAGATTATACAAATTAGCCTTCCCCCAACTCTAAATCATCTCTGAGTTTGAACTGTAAGTTGCAATAATTCGTTCATGTGGGGTATGAAGGAATCTTTAGCAACTCCGCCTCGTCCTACGTGATATGGCTGAGTTCTCGGTGAATCTTACTCATGTTTTCTGGATTATACTGATATTCAGTCTCTTATAACCCATTGTTGTGTGGTATTCTACGGATAATATACTATATTGGATTCTGTGCTGCGTGTAGGATAGTATACTGTACTGTATTAGACTGTGCCGCGTGTAGAGTACTCTTACACTAAACCCACCCAAGTTGACCCAACACATTCAAAGCATAATGTGTTGGTAATATGTGAATATGTATAGAACTGATGATGAAAAATTTTTTTTTATGATTAATATATAAATTGAAAGATTTAAGCAATTAGGTTACAAATTTAATTAAGGTAAAATAATATTAGTCCGAGAAGCAAATTTTATTGTACGCAAAATAGAGTCGTCGTTGTTACTAATGTAATAGATTATGATCACCTTAAGGCCTAAAACTGTTCACGTATGTGTGGGGGTTGTCAAGCAAAAAAAATATGTGAATTTATTGAGATTTAGTAATGCGTTACGTGGTTGTTGTGGTTGGCATTTAAATGGTACTTACACCATCCATCAACAAGTAAGAATTATGAGATAGAACTCTTAGTATTTTATAGTTATGGTGTACTAAACTGCAGTCTTCAAACACCTTCACAACACGAGAAAATAACCTCTAAGATTATTAATGATATTGTTTCGATGGTTCGTATATACTAATAATAAGATAATTCAGGTCGGGTATAATATTTAGCCAACATTGTCTTGGAAGTGGCAAATCCTTCCCTTGTCTGTATTAATATTCTCCATGTTAATTGTATTTTGGAGAAGAAAACCAGTCCAACATATAAAAAAAATTAATTATTGTTACACAGTACTTTAGCTATTTATGTGTGAATGGAAACTTTATTTCTATATATGTTTCAGGTAACAAGGAGGTGGCCATGGAGCTTTATCGGCGCGGCATCTCGGAGCTGGATTCTGGCATCGCCATTGACTGTATGGGTCGGGGGGAGGCCTATGAGAGGGCCCAGAGATTACAAGACAAGATGAGAACGAATCTTATTATGGCCAAGGAGAGGCTCGACATGTTAGGTAGGTGGAAAACTTTATTTTGATGCAACTCATTAACAGCAGATGGAGGGTACTTAATGACACAGATACTTATTTAAAGCATCTGGACAAAAATAAATATAATGAACTGATTTTTTTTATAAAATTATAATGAACAACAATACCAATATCATTAATTATAATGAACAAAAATACCAAGATTTGTCCTTAATGAAACAAATTATACTGTACTTTACTTTGAGTGCAGGTATCAGTATACATTAATGCAGTTTGCATTGGATTTCGGTATTTTTAATTTGCCTTACACAGTTTTCTTCAAGAACTTCGCAGTATTTTTCTTTAATAAATTATATATTTGCATGTTTTAAGAAACTTATTACATCTATGAATTTTTCTTATGAATTTGCATGATAATGAAATATTCAGGGCTGAATTTTTGTCGGGCAATAAATATTACCCACATGGGGGGTTGTTTTTCACTAATGGTGCTTTGTTCTTCAACTTTTTTTCTTTTACAAGTTTTTTTTAAGCTCAAAATATTTTCTTCCATTATAACATAATCTAAATTTGTTTTTAATCTAAGAATATTTTACATTGACTATAGTTTATTTTCCTATATACAGAAGATTTCTAAATTGCATAACTCCTTTATTGCTCTTTATCATTTATTTTGAGATAGGAGTAGAGCTTTTAAGAAAATTCATCAGCTGATGAATTAATATTTAGCATTTTTCTTTAGTACTGCATTTGTACAGTACAGTAGTTGCAAGTACAGTACAGATACAGTACAGTATTTGTATTATTTTGTAGAATCTGAATTCTGTTTTTCATTTGAACTTCTTTGTGTAGTAAATGTTGCAATGTTGATAATAAATATCCAATTATACGTTGTCTTTATTTGTTGCATGAAACACGAGTGTTATTGTTTTCTAGATTCGCTGGTTCACCTGCAGCAGCTGGAGCTGGATGTGCCCTTCCTCACCACCCTCACTCCCCCAGCCTCCCCTGCCCCTCGCATCACCCATACCCCCCCTCGCTTTGGTGCGGGGGTTAAGGCAACTGCCAATAGGGGATTCACAAATCAATCATCTGCTCACACAAACAAACCCCGGGCTCGTGTAGCCCCACAGGTTATGAGTCTCACAGATTCAGGGCGAAACTCTTCAGATCGGCGATATGGGCCCACTCACTCTCAAAAGCCTTCTGAAGGTAGCTTATGTTCTCACTCTGTCTTCTCTCTTCTACCCTGAAGCATCTTCTCTCTACCTGGTTTCTTACTAACAGTGATAACAGAACCCTCATGCTTACATAATTTATGATCTTATTGCCACTATCATATGTGTGACTGTGTCCATGAAACTCTTTGATTATGCAGTTACAAATATTTACATTGCAGTAGTATTACTAATACAGGACCTGCTATGGCAGAACATGATTAATAGCCACTTATGCTGATGTGCTAATTTTCATTGCTTGTAAAATACGACAATGGCAGATTTGATTTTAAATTGAGGACTACAAAACATGTGCAAAATATGTTTTCTGTACACTATTTTTATACACTAATTTTATGCAATCACATTTACCTTGAAAATTAAAGAAGATACAGGTTGACAATCCCTTATCCGAAATCCTTGGGACCAGAGGCATTTCGGATTTCGGAATTTTTCGGTTTTCAGAATGTTTTTTTTTTTGCTCATCCGGGCACAAGTTACTGACCCACATTGGGGCCTGGGGGTGCGAAAATATAATAATAATTCTAATAATAATAATAATAATAATGATAATAATAATAATAATACAGGTAATAATAATAATTCATAGGTCTAGGTCGTGTTTCTCACTTTTTATCTTTTTTCATTCTTGTATTTCTTTATTATTATTATTATTATTATTATTTTATTAATACAGTATTATTGTTACCATTATTATTTTATTTTGGTGTATTTTTAATTAAAATTTTTATTTACCGGAACTATGAATAATTATTATTATAATTATTATTATTATTATTATTATAATAATTAGTATTACCATTACATTTTCACCCCCCAGGCCCCGATGTGGGTCAGTGATCTATGCCTGGGTGGATAATCCCTGTAAAAAAAAAAAAAGAGGCTCCACAAAAACTTTCGGTTTTCAGAGCTTTTCGGTATTCGGAATTTCGGATAAAGGGTTGTCAACCTGTACTTGTTTTTTCTTATTAATACCATTCCTTGATATCTTAGTGATGTTATATAAAAATATTTGTACGGTAATTATGCTTTTCCAGAGCTGATACTGTATTGCTTTGGGATTTTATCCCACTGGCATTGTAAAACCTAGTTTTAAGATGAAGGAAGAGTAAATTAGTGTATAATATCATAGTACAAAATTATACATATGTTCCAGTATTAACTGTACAGTATCAGCATGTAATAGTTAGTCTAATTAGCTACTGGTTTTCAGATTTATGGAATTAGTGTGATAAATTAATACAGTACAGTATATCAAAGTATTTTTCACTGATATTGATTTTGAAAAAGTTTATTTAACCAGTAAAATAAAAGATACAGAATGGACAACAACAAGAGTATTGACATGACTGAGCCAAGTGAGAGCCTGAGCCCTCTTTTTGGCACATGTAATCTGTTATACACTGTATCTCAAGGAATTATCTTATAACATGAGGAAACATAAACCTTTAGATAATTAGGTGAGCTTTAATTACTCAGAAACTTTGCGTCTATTATACTGTGCATATTCAAATTAACAGTTGTCAGGAAGCATGCACTAATCTCTGACCTTCACTGATTCTTTGCTATTTCTTCTACTTATTCTGCTTGCACAGTGATAAAGAAATGTCATGGCTCCTGCTTGCTGAAGTGATGGTCCTTAATGAAACAGGTTTCATGTTGAAGATGTATTATACATTCAGTTTGTGGATAACTCTTGATAAATACAGTAGAACATCCTTCATACACTGTGCTTCTCTCACACACAGCACCAATATGTAAGACCCTACTAACCTGGTACCCCCCTTCCTTTGCACCTCATCAGCATACAATTTATCTATCCATGCTTTTCCTGGTTACACCTCATTAAATAGGCCGAGGTAGATTTCCTTATCTAACCAGATGCTTTTTTTAAAACCAGCATTTATTTTGTTGGTAGATTAGATTTTTATAAGAGAAGCTTGTATGGAATTTTGTAGACTTAAGTAATGTTCCAGTACCCAAACACTGACACGAGTATGAATGCTTGAGAATAGTATCAGAAAATAAAACTAGCAAGAGTATTCACTGTGCTCGAGTTGTTAGAAAAGGATGAAACAGTCAAAATACTGTAACTGCATTATTGGCAACATTGAAAACTTTACTTAGTAATGTAATAGAAGGCCTTCAGTAGAGAGTGAGATTAGGCTCCATGGATATTTTTCTTGAGGAATCATTCTCTGTCAAAGTTATCTTCTTCTGGGAAATAAAAAGATGCATTAATAGACTCAAGAAGATTTTATGTACAGTATTCCCAAAACTTTTGGCCTTTAAAAACTTTGGGGCATTTTAAGGTTACTTTTATAACTTATAGGTAGTACAGTATATGTCTTTCCAAAGCCCTCAGCTGCAATGTTCTTAATACTGTACTTGTACCATGGCCAGGAAATCTATCAGAACCCTTCATCCTTGACTGAAATTATGGTCTATCCTGCAATTGTCTCTTGGATTCTCCCATTCTCTGTCAGATATTTGATCTCGTTCACAGGCTGGCACTTCATCTAATTACTGCACTGTACTCTGTAATACGTTTTCTCTATTGAGGATATACTGTACAGTACTGTTTTATTAACAAATAATGTCTCTGAAAATCTGAAGTTGCATGTAAAGTATTAATACAGTATTATGATTGTTTGTTCCCGTTACATATACTGTATGTTCATCTTTGTTCTGTTGGACATTGAAATTAAATTGATGGATCATTTGATAGTAACTGATATCACATTACATTGTGTGATAGAAGACTCCTGCAAAATAAAAGTAAAACATACACAAAAAAAAGCATGGCTCTGAATTCAATGTCTTCATCATGGACTGCAACTTTTGTCATTCATTTTGTATTCAACCTTTACTCCCCAGTCCATTTTCTGAGGAAATTAGTAGAATTAAAATCGTTGAAACTTCCAGATGTTGTTGGTCTCTGCAAAAAAATCAAGTTAGTGCATTCACGACTATCTTCAAACATTACAGGCCTGGGAAGTTGTGTACAGTGTCCTAGAGGCTATGATACTGAGCTGGTAATCCAGCAATTCGCAACCGTAGTGCTAATCTCACTTACCTCAGCACTTAAATTTGTCAATAGATAAAATTGAAATACCTGTACTGAAGAGACTCAGTCATTGTGGACTAGGGCCTGCCTTTAGCACTCTAACAACCAATTTCATTTACACGGTACTGCATACAGTACAGTACAGTACAGTATGTGTAATCAAATCCATTGTTCATAAGGTCTTTGCCTCTGGATCACAGCCTCCCTTGTCTGAATGCATTACCACATAGGTATAAAGTCCAATCTCTCTTCATGTGTCATATTTTCTTCATAAGCAAAAATGCTACTTGTGAAATATTATTGCTCTTCATGTTTTGAATATAGTAGACCTTTGCCATTCACGATTTCGACAGTTTGGAGGAAGCAGATGGTGGCTCGCTTGTGAGCCTTTTCCCGCAGCACAACGAGTCACCTCACGCAGCATCTTGTGTTGTACTCTCAAAACTTTAGTGTTTCTGTTTGAAATGGTCCCTAAAAGACTGTCAGTGCTAGTGTTGCTAGTGGAGTGAAATGTAAAAGGCAGAAGTCAGTGATGACCCTGACAAAGAAAGTTGAATTATTAGAGAAGTTAAAAGAGGGGATGAGTGCTGACGCAGCTGTCGGTTGTTTGGTATAGGTATACAGTAGTGCACTAAGGTAGTATAAGCTGCTATTCACGCCATTCCTTGGAACCTAACCCCCGCGAATAACAAGGGTTTACTGTGTTGTTAAAGATAGTGAAAGTCAGGTGTTTCTAAAGATACTAATCAAGTGCAGTATTAAAGATATCTTATTCAAAGGTTACTCAGACCAATTTAAATACAGTGTTTCTTTCCTTCAACCATTACCCCATTAGACATAGGTCATTTAACTTATTTATGTTATATGTAGATTGGAGACAGACTTTTTCCCCCTGGACACAAGGTAATGGAATTTGATCAGCATGCATGACTTGCACTGCACCATGTTGAAGATATAGTATATTTTCAAACTTGTTTTTCATTTTTGAAAATTTTAATTTCACTATTGCTTTTGGATGTGTTAATTGTTGTCATATGTTGTTACTTTATTTAGTTTTCAACTACAGTATATGCTAAATTCAGTATTAATGTGGAAGCATGGATAAGTTATGTCTAATTGCAAGTGTTTTATAATTTGATTTTGTCTCCTTGAAGATGCCAAGACTTTTAAGAAGATTCCAACACCCAAACGCATGTCTACTTTGAGCAATAAAAGTCAGACACTTCCACGTAACATGGGATCCAGAGCAGTCTCCAAGGCTAGGGAGGGAAGACATCCAGGTACCCCACCAAGTGTCAGACGTCAGCTGTCAAACCAGGTTAGTAAAAATGTAAAGATCTTGTCCTTTGCCTCACATATTCTGTACTGTGCATTGCTTTTTCCAAATTAGATAAAAAAATATTACTGTATTGTCTTCTCTCCTTCAGTGCAGATTCTTCCACAGCTTCTAGAGTTCTCAATCATCTAATATACTATAGGACTAGGCGTGTGTCTGTCTGTATGTCTGTTCTGGGCAGCCAAAACGGCACAATCGTTTTTCATCAAACTTGGTGGAAAAATCGCAAAAAATTTGTAGAGTGGAACAAACCTGGTCCCATGTCGATGGTTTCTTTAGGAAGGCATTAATTAACCATTTTATTTACGATGGAAAACGATTCAAGTCTACGGACTTGGCGCACCCTAATTAACCATGCAAGTCTACGGACTTGGCTCACCCTCATTCGCTGTATGCTAGCCAGGCACGAGCGATCAAACTTTCACTGGGCACAAAGGTGCCCGCGATCACTTGTGTGTGTTCTATATTTCCAGGTCATTTTACTTGACCTATGTATGCTGAATTTGTCTTTTGAATTGCTACCCTTCCCTGCATTTCAGTTAGCTCCACAAACCATATACAGATTCTAAGTTAATATCCCTTTTGTTAGAAATGGTTATTAGCTTGAACTGTACACTGTCCCTCAGCCTTATTACTTCTTTTAGTCATCAGCATATATATATATATATATATATATATATATATATATATATATATATATATATATATATATATATATATATATATATATATATATATATATATATATATATATATATATATATATATATCATAATATATATACATACATACATACATACATGGTTACATACATACGGACAAAGGGTTACATACCATACATATACATACATGTGCAAAAAACACATACATACATACATATATATATACCTTTATATATTTAATCATTATATATATACAGTAGAAGTCCAAAAATCCGGACTGCTTGGGGATTGGGTCGGTCCGGATTTTCGGATTTTCCGGATTCTCAGGCAGTACTTTTAAAATTCAAATTTAAGGAGGAATAAAGAAGAGATGAACAGGTACATTTTGATAGTTTATTCATTAGCAAATAAAGCATGCTTCATTTATCAAAACGAGCAGTTTTAAAAGAAAAATAAAGTCAACACTAGACAAAAATGTAAACAAACTGTCTAATACCATGACGAGTCTTGAAATTCCTAAGCCATCCATCACTAAATGCGCACTCTGATTCAATGTTCATTTGCTCCTTAAAAGACTTTGCTTTGGCAATAAGCATTGGCCCAGAAATTGCCATACCTTCTGATCGTTTTAACAAAAACCATTCGTGCAACACTTTATCAAGATTTTCTAATTTGGGCCAATATAAACCTTTTCTTTCAGCAATTTAATGTAAGGCTCAGAAGAAGCTGTGAATTCTAGAATTTTATTCTTTGCCTTTTTTATATCATAAATTGTAGACTTTCCAATGTTGTATGTTTCCTTTAGAACAGCATTGCTCACATTACATTCTAGTTTCTTAATTATTTCAAGTTTGTCACTCAATTTCAATGTGTTCTTCTTTTTCTTCACACAACGAAGTTTATCTACTTTTGGGGCCATTATTATGGGCTTGTACTCTGTACATGGAAAGAGTAGGACTCAAAATTACATACGTTGTCACAGTTTGATTGCTTGTTTTAAAGTGGCGATCGTGTGGTCGTTTGTTGTCGCTGTGCAGCTGTGGCATTCACGCATGCACACATACACACAAAAGATTTATAGTGCCTCAAATTTTACATTTCAGTTCAAGCTAATTACAAAACTAACAAAATTAGCTACCTATAATTTACAATTAATTTTATTATTAGAATTATGTAAATTAATTTTTTAAAGCAACTCCATTCATTCACATAACCCACAAAAGCCCCCGCTAAATTTAAAAAGTTTGAGTTTTCGAAAAGTCCGGATTCTCGGGTGGTCCGGATTCCTGGCATCCGGATTTTTGGACTTTTACTGTATGTATGTATGTATGTATGTATGTATATATATATATATATATATATATATATATATATATATATATATATATATATATATATATATATATATATATATATATATATATATATATATATATATATATATATATATATATATAACTGTTAAAAGATACCAAATTAAACCTTGAGTGTCACTTACAATGTGATGGTCCCAGTTAGACCCTATTCCTATTAATTCATATGGGAATTATTTCCCATTTATAAGTGGTTTCATTATTAGTGGCTTTTTTCTGGTCCCTATTAACCACTTATAATAAGGACCTCCCCCCTGTATAATGAAACCTGACTACCCAGCACAGTGAATGGTGTCACTGGCGACCCCTTTCCAAGGTTCCACAGGCCTGTCAACTGTTTATGGACTCCACACATGTGTGTTTTGAATGGCTCACCCATTCTATGATGTATTCTCTCACTGTACATACACCCTCTACACACTAACCTACAGTAGGCATACTGTACACTGTCCACATTGCTATGTACAGTACTGTACAGTATTCGTACTGTACATACAGTATGTTAATTTCACACTTAGTGAATGTACAGCACAGTATTTGTACTGTACATACAGTATGTACAGTATACATTACTGTATTCATGTTTTTTGTCTTAACACTACTTTAATGGTATTCTTGGCTGAATGTATGCAGGTACAGTACTGTACAACACAGATCATATGTGAAAACAGCAGTGAGCGAGTGAAGGAGCAGTGACATGACAGTAGTGGTCAATCATAGCTCAGGAGCACTCTCAGCCTACCCACATGTGCGTCCTGTACTTGTCCCAGCAACGGAAACATTATGCAATCTCTCGAAATTTGTTTGAATGCTCGGAACAGAAATTTTTTCGCAGAAGGATATCAAATTTAAAAAAGAAAGGGTTATCTCGGACACAAAGTTTCCAGGTTGCTGCTTTGAGAAGGGAATGAGACTGATGTAGCAGTTGTTTGAGGTTTTATAGCTAAATAGTGCCTCCATGTGGGCAGTGCTCTATCCCTGACTATATTTAGTATACAGTACATGACTTACATCAAAATAGTAGGTGGGCTAATTATTTAAGATAGAGTAATTGTACTAAAAACATTAATTTTAGTTTGTACACCTTTACTGTTGCAGTAAGTATTAGGCACTTAAGACACATTCTTATACAGTTTTAACTGTTAGTGGTATGCTATAAGTAAACATACATAACTGTTAAGTGTATTGTGCCAAGGCTACAATAGTAACTGTGTCATAATTTGATGTTATGACTATTGCCCTGTGAATGTTCTGTGACTGCTGCAGTTATGCTACAGTAGTGGTTATTCACCACACTGATTGTACAGTACAGTACAGTACTCAGAAATTTTCTAGGTATGAAGGCCAGTACCCTGTGAAGGCTGACTAGTCCACCCTTCACTTCACTAGTAGTCAAAGGAATTTCCTACAGATAATGTTACAAGGGCTCCTTGCCAAAAATGATAGTAACACTCCAGGCTTGTAAACTATGCCATACTCATTTCAGTTGAAAATATACTTGTTTGCCTTTGTCATCAAGAAGTGAAAATTTAAAAAAAAAAAAAAAAAATAAGGGAAATAATTGGCTGTTCAATAAATTATCAAAAAAGGTTTGAGTTTAGGCCCTAATATAAAAATGTGTGTTCAATTAATAATCTGTATACTGTAATAATTTTGTTCAAGAATGATGGTACTGTAGCTTGAAATATTACAAAACCAATTTTTTTTCAGAATGGTGGTATGCCATTGGGTTCGCCTTTGAAACGTCGTGGTTCAGCAGGTTCTGGCCTTACTGGCAATGGAGGTAATGGAACACCAAAGCACACACCCACTCATAGACGATCTGCTTCAGCATCCATGAAAGGAGTTGATACCAAGTTAGCTCATGGCATTATGGATGAAATTATAGATTCCTCACCTCCTGTAACATGGGATGACATTGCCGGACAACAAGTAAGTTATTGTAAACCTTTGTGAAATGTTTGGTTTCCAGTAATTTTTAGATAGGAAGATAACTAAAGTTTGAAAATATGTATGTTACATTTCTATGTTTAGAATATTGTTCAGTTTAGATATTATTACCGTAGTTGTATGCTAGCACATTTTTGTTATACTGTACAGTAAAGCCTCATTAATTACCATTAAAATAAAGCAATAATGAGATGCATTCCCCAGTGTGACCTTTTCATAACTTTTGTGTGGCTTTTTACCCTCTTCCCCAAAAACAATACAATTAATGAAAATTGAAAACTATATTCTTTAAATAATGTTTATGAATGCACTTTATACAATATAAATCAATAATAGTAAAGTCACACAAGAGGAGATGGGATGCTATTGTTGTCAGTGTTTACACCCATAATGTCGGTTATCATCTGGTTGTTGCTATAGTAAAATTAATGTAAAACAATTAAGTATATTTTAATTAATGTTATTTAATGTACAATAAAAGTTACTATTGATGTTAAGGAAAAAAGAGTGATAGTGGAACGGCAATGTACACTTGTGCCCTCAAGGAAACCGGGTCTTTTATCTTATTAAGAATACAGTTGTACCCCACTTAACGCGGTCAATAGAACCCAGAGGGTCCCGTGTTAAGTGAAATCCGCGTTAAGTGAACAACAGAACATATGGGATTAATTCCAATAGAAACCGGCCCGACCCCCAAACTCCACTTTTTGAAGACACATAACTATGTTGTAGTAAAAATAACATCTTAATTTTATGATGGTACATGCACACAATTAATACTTAAGAGAAATAGAGAAATACAGTCGCCAAGTTAATGTCCATTCAAATAATGGACTCAACTCCCTCCCCCTCTCACACTACACTGCTCTTCCCTCTCTGAGAAATTTTTGGGGAAAACCACTAAATTTTAATAAATAATACCTCAAACTAAAGTTAGGATAATACAATTGACATTGCTGGATTCCTTGTAAGACCAGGAATATTTTGAATATAAATGTCATATATTTTGCACAAAAGATAACATAGTTACTCAGAAAATTTTTTTATCTAAAATTTGTATGTCTAATGCAAAATATATGATGTTTATATTCAAAATGATCACCAAATTATAAGAATTCCAGCAATGTAAATTATATTCTGGCCGGGTAATTTGTATGAATTTTATGAGCTAAAACAAATATCTTCAGTTAATAAAAAAAAAATAATCTTCAGGACACTATCTGTCAATCAAAGTACCCCACCTTGCCTTCCCCCTCTTCCAACCGCGCGGTCAGTCCCAACCCTCCCCCCACCCCCCACCAATCCTCCCTTCAAGAGAAAGGTTGGGTGAAAAATTTAGATTTTAACATTTTGTATTAAATAATACCTCAGATTAAAGTTAGGATAATATAATTGACATTGCTGGATTCCTTGTAAGACCAGGAATATTTTGAATATAAACGTCATATATTTTGCACAAAAGATAACATTCTTACTCAGATTAAACATTTTATCTAAAAATTTTATGTCTAATGCAAAATATATGATGTTTATATTCAAAATGATCATCAAATTATAAGAATTCCAGCAATGTAAATTATATTCTGACCGGGTAATTTGTATGAATTTTATGAGCTAAAACAAATATCTTCAGTTAATAAAAAAAAAAATATTCTTCACGGGGTAACAGATGGTCGGTCGGTCCCTCCCTCCCCCCCACCCCCCACCAACCGTCCCAAGGAGATGTGTGGGAAAACCAGAATACTTAACTTTTTTGTAATAAATAATACCTCAAACTAAAGTTAGGATAATATAATTGACATTGCTGGATTCCTTGTAAGACCAGGAATATTTTGAATATAAATGTCATATATTTTGCACAAAAGATAACATAGTTACCCAGAGAAAAAATGTTATCTAAAATTTGTATGTCTAATGCAAAATATATGATGTTTATATTCAAAATGATCACCAAATTATAAGAATTCCAGCAATGTAAATTATATTCTGGCCGGGTAATTTGTATGAATTTTATGAGCTAAAACAGGCAGTCAGGCAGGGTGGCGGGTGGGGCAAATCTAAAAATAGCGTCTCGAGCCGGACACTCACCGCGTATATGATGAAAAAATCCGTGTTAAGTGAAAGTTCAGCTCTGGCGAGGCACCGCGTATATGATAAAACGCTCTAAGTGAAACCGCGTTAGGCGGGGTAATACTGTACTGTATGTACAAAAGATTCATTATTGTTTATTACTGAATATGTATTTGATTGAATTAATTTTTATATACAGTGGTCCCTCGGTTAACGAACACAATTCGTTAACCAAAAATTTTGTTAAACGAAACCATTGTTTCAATGGGATTTTGGGTAATTGGTTCCAGCTCACCGAAAATTACATACAAACTAAAAATAAATGCAGTAAAGTACACTTACTTTGAGGTGTGCATGTAGAAGGCTCCTGGTTGATGATGATGATGATTGGAATTAGAAGTGGGGGTGGAGGAGAAGGGAGAAGAGAAGGAAGTGGGGTTGGAAGAGAAATCACCCCATGCTTCATGCTGCCATTTCACCCATAAAATTTTAAGTTCACTAGGTGTAATTCAAGATTATTTTCTTTAAATCAACACTGCACTGCTCTATATATTGTCAATATGTAAAATAAATTTCAGAATGACCAGTAATTGTACTGTAAAAATGTAAAAATAGTTTATGTTCAAGAGAGTCTCAAGTAAGATGTTACCTCCACTGAGCAGAGACACAAACTGATGCCTGCTGGGTGAGTCAAGTGGCTGTTTGGCGCGCTAAAACTAGTTTCCTTTACTTCAATTATGTTCAATAATTGTTAAAATGACTAGAAAATTTAATATAAAACTTTAAAAATTATTGAATAGTTCAACCTTCTTGATATTTACTCAAATGGGAACGAATTTAAGCCCTAGAACTGATTACTGTATTGGTGGACTAATATTCCAGCTGGTGAGCAAGCGAAAACATGTTGAGAAGACTTCGTAAGGAATTCGTTAACCGAATTTTTTTCGTTAACCGAATTGAAGATTCTTATGGAAGGTAATTCGTTAACTGAGGCGTTCGTTAACCGAAGGATCACTGTATGCGAAATGACCAAAGCAATTCATTAATAATACGTAGAATATTAAAACACACAAGAGGAGACAAGACGGTATTCTTTTCGTTCATATTTACAACACCCGTGATGAATGACGATGGTACCACTTCTACATAAGAAACTGAAGAAATAAGACCCTGGTTGTTGCTGTAGTAAAATTAATGTAAAAAAATGAATATGTAATATGTTATTTAATGTTAATAAATGGAACAATGGAAGTAGCTAACCATTAATGGTAAAGAAAAAACGAAATAAATTGGGAACGCCATCGTACGTAAGTGCGTATATGTGAAAACATCATTATTTCTCTACATAAGAACATGAAAGGGACACTTATTACTGTTCACGTATGTTTTAAATAATACTTACTAATGTAAAACAAAAATTCTACTCACAAATGGTGGTAAAGTCTAAAACATAAGGACAGCCAATGAATATTGTGCGAGTTTTTACTCAGATGATTTCGTCAATCAGTTTCAACTCTGGCTGAAGCTGAAGCTTTCCATAAAGATATCATAGCTGTTGCTGAAACTGTTACTGAACCTGAAGTTGTTGTTGAAGCTGCTTATTATGCTGAATTTGATGGTGTAGCTGAAGTTGGTGGTTTAGGCCTTTGAATAATAAAGCTGTCGAAAGAACCTTTCACAGCCGCTTGCTTTTCTCATTATACATCTTATGTAGAGGTCATATGTGTTTTCCACATCCCTGTTAATTTTAATGCTTCGTTCTTTTAATGGATCCACTTCAGAAAATAAAAATATATTCATTGCTTGCTCCATATAATATCCACAGACCTCTCACCTTTTTCATATAGTTTTAACACATCTAGTTTCTCGGCTAAGCTTCTACACTATCTTTTAGCTATTAAACCAGCACTATCATATCTTGCTCTCTTGCTCATGTTGAATAGGGATGCAAAAAATGCCGGAAGAAACCTACAAAATAAATTAGTACAATATAGAGAAGGGAAATGTGCTTAAATTTGCATGAATGTTATGATGATGAAAAGAAGAAACATAAACTTAGTAATGAAGGAAAGGAGCTTGGATGTCTTTTCTTTTGTAACACCAAATTTTAAATGATGCCTAACATTTCATTTGCAGATTGCAAAAAAAGCACTACACGAGATTGTTATATTGCCTTCACTGAGGCCAGAGCTCTTCACTGGTCTCCGTGCTCCAGCAAGAGGATTGCTACTCTTTGGTCCTCCAGGTAAGATTTAACTTTATTGCACAATGAAAGCTTTGCTGTTACCTACAAGATTGCATAATAAAATCTTTGCAGCAGATATTGCACAATGTGACCTCAGATATCCTTCTTTGTCATAACTAACAGGATGTAGGATATATGGATTTTTTTAGTTTTGTGAGCAGTGTCACTGGACAAGCATGGGGCAGATCAAGATGCATAATATTCTAGATCTGTGATCACAGTGCATGTCTTGACATCAATAACCTGAGTATAGGTATAGTAGTCCCAAAACTAACCCTTCCAGTTCAGTATCAGTTATTGTCAAGGAAGTTGATGAAGATCTAATGGCACAGGCCTGGCTGGTTCTTCATGAATATACTGCTTAAATAAGAAAATAAGATTGACTTAATAGGTAGGTGGGTAATCTTTGATTACCTCAGGGAATAGTGACCCTTCCTTGCCAGCTAAGAGGACACTTAAAGGTCTCAACTCTGTAAAAGTGGGTTGGCAGTAGGAAGGGCATCCAGCCATTAATCTTGCTCCAAATTTGCTTGAAGGTAACAGGGACACCATGGCATCAGGTAATTATGGTTAACCTATGCAAGTTTGGAACATGACTTAGTGGTGATAGTAATACATACCTGGTAATAGTATAATAATTGCTGGTGGAGATTTATTTTTTTCATAAATAAAACATAGTACTGTATCTTTGTACTGTATACAAGTACAGTACAACTAAATTGTAAAAATTAGATGAGCAGTCAGTGTTTTACTGTGTTTGTTTTAAGTATTGATTCTTTGTGCTTTTACATAATGCAAGTCCACAAAATAGCAGAGCAAACACTGCCACACATGAAGTACGTGAATGACTATTGTTTATTTGCAATCTTTTATAAATTTCATTAATGGCAGATAACTGATTTCAAGATTTTTAAGGTTGAATTGTACATAAAACCTGCTGCTGGATGTTTCCACGACCATGCATTTTAAGGAACTCTACCCTACTGCTATACAGTATTTTCCTTTATTATGTGTGTGTGATTGGTTTTGCATTTTACAGGTAATGGCAAAACCATGTTAGCTCGAGCAGTAGCAAGTGAAAGTTCAGCTACATTTTTCAATATTAGTGCATCTACACTGACCAGTAAATATGTTGGTGAAGGGGAGAAGCTGGTTAAAGCGCTATTTTCAGTAGCACGAGAACTTCAGGTAAGACTTTTATGCTTCATTTGTATGTGAGCACACAGCTGATGTAGTAAATGTAAACATACTGGTAGATTTAATTATGGACAGTGCTAACTTGAAAGAGACAGAAATAAAAAAGTAAGGTGTTTCTGATGCCCGATGATTGTAACAGTGGTTAGCAAAATTGAACATTAAAATAGTAGAGGGAGAAAAAAATACTGTAGTAAATGCATGAAGAATAGAATGGAACGATAGAGAACTGTATCAAAGGAAGTAACGCTGGAAGTGGACGGAGGAATTACTATATGGAAGTGAACACTGACTCTTGAAGCAGGATGCATTTGAGTGAATTAAATTAGAAGCAACAGAAGTGATATGCTTGAGAACAGTGTTTGTGGTCAACAGTGTGCTGAGAATAGGAAATACAGAAATGAGATGGAGGAATGGAAATGAATTAAATGTTAGATTGAGAGCTAAGTGGAGTTTGGAAAAGTGATACAAAATGGACGTGTTCAAAGAAGGGGAAAAAAGAAATTGGTAAAAAGAGCATACAGTATAGCTAGAGTTGGATAGTGGGACCATGAAGAAATTGCACAAATTGCAAGAATGTGGTGAAAGGAAGCACAAGGGAATGATAGGGGAGCATATGGTAATAGGTTGGTGTAGCAAAATCTCACAGTAGTAAGAGTGAGTTTGTGTTTGCTCTTGATTCCAGCTATACTGCAGCATTACAGGAAAGGGCTTTGTATGATTGAATAAAAAAGGATAATATTTTTGTATGGAGCAACACATCTTAAATGGAAGTTTTGAAGTATATCTGGTTATTAGAAAACTTTGACCAATATTCAACCATACAACCTCAATATTTTGCTCACCAAGGGACTGAAAAGTCTATAAAACTAAATTTTTTGCAAAATATCTATAAGTTAAAATACAGAAAGATGAATAACCATGAGGTGCCTTACAAACAGGACAGTAGAAGTACAGTATAAAATATAAAGCACCAAAGAAATTAAATTAAATATACATCAAGATTCTTACTTTCCACCCAGGCCAATGATGTCCTAAGGACTCACTCATGCACCGATCTGTTCAAGAGTTTATTTTATCCCTCTATGAGGTAATATTTACTAATTTTATCAAATAAATGTTGTACTCTTTATATGTCTGTCGGGTAATAAGGTAATATTTTCTGAGTACTTTACCTTTATTTGCAATGTGTGCAATATCTGTATATTAGATCATTCCAATTTAGCTCAAATTTTCCTAAATTGCAAAAATATGAAATGTGAAATTATGAGGTTCTTCTTTCTGCTAAATTTAGGTACAGTAGTAAGTTGTTGGACTTAGCAATAGATGTGGTATTCTGGGAGGTTCTTTTTCTCCCTAATCATGTTTTCTCAGGTGATACTACCTGTATCAACATGTGGTGGGCTGCTAAATATTCGTACCCTCCTTACTGATCTTTCAATGATAGCTATTTTCCCATTGTTTCTCTTGTTGTCTTTATAGCTTTGCTTTCCATTTGTGTGTACACAATTTACTGGAGTAAACTTCCTACTCCTGTGTATAAACATATGATGACTGTACAAATAGGTATGATTTGTTCACCCCACTTATATCAGTGCACCCGATATCCCTTGTTAGGGCTTGAAACCACAAGCTGCCAGGTTATTGGGTAGCTGACTAGGTGCTGCTTGAGACTTGTACCTTACAGCCTTAGACTATAGGTCACAGTGAGGAATATTGGTTACATTTATATATGTGTACAGTGCATATCCATTTGTATACAGTACAGTATATTTAACCCCAATAGGAGAATGGATGGACACCAATGAAGGATTTCCTCAAATCTCAAATGACTGAGGATTATGATCATTGTAGATCATATCAGATAGTAGTGATTGTTGTAGGGTAACAGAGGAAAACTACCACAGGCTTATGTGCCTGACATATTGGATACCACTTTGGACTTGCATCTTGTAGTCCTGGGTTCAAGCCCCAATAGGGGATATTTTTTGGTTGAAGTGGTCACTAAGTTAAAACAATACAGTATAGCACATCAGATCAGCAACTACTTCAAGTACTCCTTCTGAAGTCTTAACTTTTACATGCATACAAGTCCCTTCCCAGGTTCCAAAGCCCTAAACCAGAAAATATTACATTTTGAAGGCTGGCCAAAATTTTCAGTTTTTACGATTTTTTGTTAAAATAAACAATTTAGATGATGTGGTGAAAAACAGTTTTGAAAGGTAAATTAACCTTCACTGAAAGACTAGCCTTTCTAATTTTTTTATCTTCTATTTGCAGCCAGCAATTATCTTCATAGATGAAATTGATTCCTTACTTTGTGAGAGAAGAGAAGGAGAGCATGAAGCCTCAAGAAGATTGAAAACAGAATTCCTTGTTGAATTTGATGGACTTAAATCAGATCCTGATGAGAGAATTCTTATCATGGGTGCAACAAACAGACCACAGGAGCTGGATGATGCTGCACTCAGGTAAATACAAGGTCCTTCTTTGCTGTCTAATAATTTATGTAGGTGACCTCTGTATAACTTTTTCACTTGTGCTCTAATTGAGGGGGCAGCCTTCTGTAGGTGTCCAATTGCCAGGAAAAAATCTGGGAAAACAGAGTGTGAAGATGCACAACCCCACAGGGCCTACAGATGTTTAATGCAGACAGTGCGGCCCAAGAAGATGGTGTAGTGCAGTGCTTGGCTGGGCTTGATAGTTTGGTCGTGATCCCACAGTGCGATTGGCTCCTTTCTCGGGAGGCATAAGTTGTAAAAGGGTTGTGACTAAATGTCGAGTTACAAAATGAATATAAAAGTTTCAATGATTTTATTTCCATAAGTACAGGTTGACTACCCTTTATCCGAAATTCCGAAAAACGAAAAGCTCTGAAAACCGATTTTTTATTTATTTATTTATTTTTTTTAAACAGGGATTAGCCCATCGGGGCCTGGGGGCGAATACGTAATAGTAATAATAATTATAATAATAATTATTCATAGTAAATAAAAAATTTAATACAAAATACACCCAAATAAAATAATAATAATTAAGAAATACAAGAATGAAAAAAAGATAAAAAGTGAGAAACACGACCTAGACCTAAGAATTATTATTATTATTATTATTATTATTATTATTATTATTATTATTATTATTATTATTATTATTATTATTATTATATTCCCCCCCAGGCCCAAATGTGGGTCAGCGACTTGTGCCCAGGTGGGCTAATACACACACACATAAAAAAAAAACTAACCATTCTGTAAACCGAAAAATTCCGAATTCCGAAATGCCTCTGGCTCCAAGGATTTCGGATAAGGGATTGTCAACCTGTAGATGAAAGTTTCCTATTTCCTTTATCGTTTTATGCAATGTACAGTTATAGAAAAAAGTCCTGTCAGTCCTCTGACCTAAAACTCATGAACCTGTGAATCAAGACATCACACATTGATAGGCCCACAGATGGTGCACTGGGTCTTGTGATGTCTCAGATTCACAGGTCCATTAGTCTCGGGGTTCATAGATGGGGTGGAGGGCTGACAGGACTTTTGGGCTACATTTCTTGCACATAAACCACACATTGATTTTTGTGGAAATAAGATGCCTCTGAAGGCTGCCCCACAATTATATTTAAATCACTGGTATGGATGTAAATGTTAGTGATGTATGCTGACCAATATGACCATGCATACAGAAATTACTGGTGACACTGTTAAATCATTTGAGAGGTGTTGTAATTCATTCAGATGGCCAAAACTCATAATGTGTAGATTTTTTTTTCAGGTTGAAGATTTTAAAAGGTATTGTACCTTATCCATCATGGAAACTTAAGTCACATAACTAGAATGTAGCATATTGAAAATGATTTTTTCTTTCCATATTTACTACAGATGAAGGATCCTTTATCTGACACCCCCCCCCCCTCCAAAAGGAAAAAAAAAAATAAACAGATCCTTTTGTATGTGCATATGAAGGCATATATCAGGTAGTTCAGGGAATCTTGAATGGAAGATAAAGATATTCTAATAATTTATTGTCAGTTATTTAGGATTATGAGAAGCTGTACTGTATAAGTAAGTAGAGGTTCAACATGTAAGATCCACTTGTGAGGAAACCACCATTTTCACTGCCATCCTATCTCTCATGATTACACGATGGACCTAAGCCAAACCTCATGTTATGCCCGCAACTATAACAAAGACTTAGGTGAAACGCATAATACCAGTAAAAGTTTCCATTAGCCTAGAACTTAAATAAATACTGGTACAGGGTGAGTCTGTAAAGCAGCTATTTGGGCCAGTCAGCTCCCACAGTCTTCATGTTTCTTAACCTGTAACCTACAAACTTCTATAATCACTAATTACAGCAAATTTTTTAGCTACAGTAAAGGGGGGAGGGACAAAACCATGTCTACTGTAAAACATCTTAAAGTGTATAAAAACAACTAAACCAACAACAACTGAATGTGGAGTGAAGCATTGATGTTAGTGATTGAGAGAAAGTCATTGCTCAAATTGTTCAATGTTTTATCTAAAATGCTATTAAACAAGACTTACCGATAGTATTGAAGAACACTAAAAAAATCATGTTAACCTTCAAAGATATCTGAATGCAAGAGGTGGCAAGTGGTGTGAGTAGAAAATTGATTCTTTCAGGTATGAGGTCTGGATCTGTATAGGCTAGCCTAGGCTTAGGCTATTGTAATAAGCCTAAGAATCTGAAACAGAAAATATTAGAAAATGGAGGCAAAAATTTTCTCAATGGTTATTGGAGAAAGGATCCTTTGACCTGTAATAACAATATATAGCAAATTGTAAATGTCAGATTGAAGTCTGCATCTATAGATCTCCATAAAGTAATTAATTTTTGTATCTAAAAAAAAAAAAATTGCAGACGATTCAGCAAGCGTGTGTATGTGTCACAGCCTGATAAGAACACCCGCTGTTTGCTAATAAATCATCTAATAACTAAGCAGAAGTCAGAATTAAGTACTCGGGACCTGGAGGTATTGGCCGGCCTTACTGAGGGATACTCAGGCTCTGACCTTACATCCCTGGCCAAGGATGCAGCTCTAGCACCAATCAGAGGTAAGATTAATAAACAGCAACTAATTATACATAAGTGTAGAGATGGAAGAACAAAGACAATACTTTTGGTTTCACATGAAGTGGTGGGCAATCATCCATCCTTCATAACCACTTGTGCTTGATAAGTTCTGCTGGTAATGGTTCATAAACTTTCAAGGTTAGCTAATGGATAAAATCTTATTGGAAAATGGATCAAGTTATGGGATTTCTCCAGAAGTTTGCTGTCATTAAGATGTTTTGCCATCTTTTCTTTCTCTAGTATATATATATATATATATATATATATATATATATATATATATATATATATATATATATATATATATATATATATATATATATATATATATATATATTATATATATATATATATATATATATATATATATATATATATATATATATATATATATATATATATATATATATATATATATATATATATATATATATATATATATATATATATATATATATATATATATATATATATATATATATATATATATATATATATATATATATATATATATATATATATATATATATATATATATATATATATATATATATATATATATATATATATATATATATATATATATATATATATATATATATATATATATATATATATATATATATATATGATGTGGAGTAGTCATCATTCTGGAGGGAAAATCTTTGTACCCTTCAGTCACCAGGCTTTTCAAGGAAATCTCAAACTCTTCATGAAATAATACATTGATTGCTCCTTTTTCGCTAGGTAAGAATTTGTTCTTCCTTCTAATGGAACTCTGTCCAAAACTTGCTCAGAAATATTGGTTAGGTAACATTCCATTTCAGATTAAGGGGTGGATCCTTCTTCAGTTCCTTTGATAAAAGTTGGTAGTACAGGTAGTGCTTTTTTTTTCCTTCTTGACTTGTATCAGTGTTTCTCCTGGATAGGTGCAGGTCTTCTGCTGTTAATTAGGGCTGTGGATTCCAAAAGATTAACAGATTAACTTTTCAGAGGGATCCACAATAACACCAGACCTATTTGGACCAACTATGGTGTTTAGTAAGATGTTCTGGTGGTGTCTCCTGTGGAATATAAAGAGTCAGTCAGTTGAGAAAGAAAGTCAAGTTTCTTTGCAGGGAGAGCCATATTATTTTATCAAGGAGCAATATTTCTTAGTATAGACAATACAGGACAAGAAAATATTGGTTAATTTGATTATTTCATATCAGATAGTGGAGCTAGGGTCTCTTTTTTCAGTAGATATAGGGATATGATAATGAAGTTTCCTAAAGAAGTTAAGGTTGCATTTCAGTAGTAGGAGTCAAGTTGGACTTTGATATGATGGTTTGGATAATTGCCTCCAGTAGGGTTGGGATTTTTTCTTTTCTGGAGGTTTGTAACTTAGGGGTCACTGATCCCTGCCTTTGTCACGGTCTCACAGTAAGTTGAACGAATTAAATGATCCTTTCTTATGTTTTCGATGTATGCGACTCAAGTTTCAAGGGAAAAATATTCAGCATTTTAATGAAACATGTTGGCTGTGGAGTGCATCATAAAATATTGTTCATCTGGGTCTCTTACTCTGTGGGAGTCATCGAGGAAACTGTTTACTCAGAATGTCAGGGCTTATGTTTTGTCCGAGTTAGATAGGGTTCGGTCTGGTCTCTCTGTTTGAGTTTTTCAAGATTGAATTTGTTTGCAATGCTGGATATTAACAAAGTTCTGTAATTTGTTTTGCCTATTCCACATGTGAATTCTGTAGGGGGTGAATGCATTTTTTCCATTCTATCTCTCAACAGTTATGTTCCTCAATCAATTCAACTCTATCCAACAAATCCTTATCTACTTGCATCTCCTTATTTTAGTCAAGGAATGGGATAAAATGGTATAGTGTCTTCATCCTCAATTTTATAAATTTCAGCTATAGGTATTTTAATTATGAACTTGGTGTTGTGATCGATAGTCATTAAGATTAATTTACCTGGTTGTACTAAAGGGATATGAGATCTCAAGGTTGTGTTGGGGGGTCACCTTTAAGTCTTAACAGCCTCCACTAATAGGTGATATTCCATCCCAAATATCTGTTATGGATTTATTAATGTGTATCTAAGTGAATAAATGATTTGTACAATGCAGTCCTTGTAAATCAGTATGAGAGATTATTATTAAACATACTATACTGACATTTGTAGCCATGTTCTCCCCTCTTGTCTTCCCCTTCCCTCTCTTGGCTTCATTATTGGTGGAGAGAGTAGTCAATCATTTGTTTACTTTTCGTTGGATATCCCATTTCTATGTGTATTCTTTTCTTTTCATGGGGGTTCAGTGAATGTATCAGGAGAGAGTAACAATAATATTTTGGGAATGTGTGGACCCTTACTGCATTTTCACAGGCACATTTCATAATAATTTTAATCCACAGGGTCTGTAGGAATATAATCCTGCATATTATGTGGGAAATACTGTACAAGTTCTCCTACTAATTTTATGTTGTCCCTTCCTTAGTTTCTACACTTGTCTAGAACACAATTTTTTTATTACTTCTAGAAGCAAAGCACATGAGTTTCACTTGTATAAGAACCTTACCATCATGTATAATGTTACATCAAATGTCATAGACAGGATCAGAAGGTCAGTGATGTGGATGAACCACTCACCATGAAATAAAGTCAGCAGGTGATTTATTTTAAGTAGACACTTAACTATAAATTCACCGAATTTTCTGTTTCACAGAATTGAACCCAGAGCAGGTGGTAACATGTGACCCATCTGAAGTTCGAGGCATCACACTCACAGATTTTAAGGAATCATTGAAAAAGATACGGAGATCAGTTCCGCAGTCTACAATTTCTACTTATGAAAAATGGAATGCAGAATATGGAGATATATCTACATAAATATTTTTAATTCACTTTTGTGATAATCATTTTGGTCCAATCCATTTTTATTTTGTTTTTTGTTTTAATGATGACCAACATACGTGATATTTGCTTTCATGTCAATAAAGATATTTAATATACTCTTTGCACAAAATCTTATGCTCATTGTTGTAGATAATATACCCATTGTAACATAAATCATACAGGTAGGCAATTGAATTGATAACTTGGGGCTTTAACACTCATCAGCAACTGTTCTCTCTAAGGGTAAGCTCTCTGTCCTTCACATGTTGCCCTTTTTATTGTGCTATATCAGAATATACTTTGCTGATATTGATGGAGAAAATGTATGCCAATCACGCTAAATGTCTTCAAGAAAATGAATCACATTATTATGTTCAGGAATGGCTTAGCTTTGTGGTGAGCTAATTTGATATAGATGTTCTTGTGGGTAGCCAGTTTGATGTTGACAAAATCTCATGGCAACATCCAGAGAGTAGATGCTAGTGTCTATTGTTTCTAGGATTGGAAGCTTTTATTGCGCTATAATTTATATTTATTTGTTCATTTGGTTTTGTAGCAATTTTTTTATTAGATGTTAGAATTAATATTCATGTTTTTATTGATTTCTTGCACTCATTTAATGATTTACAGTACAGAAATCATGAAAAGATTATGATTTAGGACTTATTAACACCAGCTTAGCCTGTAGAAAAACTAATCGTCTTCAAGCTTCTTAGTCATTGGCATGGAAAAATCTACTTAAGTCTCCAATAGTGATAAATTCCTGGAAGGTTATTTATAGTGTAGCAATAAAGTTTATTCTGCAAAGTACACAAAATGGTTTATAAAAAAGTATTAGTCTGATTTTATTTTCAAAATATTTTAGATCAATACTGTAATTTAAAGGTTGTGCAACAAGACTTAATATTGGTAAAAATTCTTGGGTCGGATTTTAGATAGGGAGCTTAGGTCTCCTAAGACAAAAGTGGTAGAGACCTAAGAATGGTGCCTGAGAAGCAAGAAGAATTATTCTCTATTGGAAACTACTTTGGGGACATACACAGAGAAGTGAGAGATGAGGCTTTTCCTTGGCAGTGACTACATATGATAGTAATTTTTTATTTTTAGGAAAACTGGTTTACTTCAAGAGCATTTCAAGTTGGCTGAGTTTAGCATCCTTAAAAGAACTTTGTATACAATAATACAATTTACTATTTTGGTTGCTTAAGTCTGCCTTCAACAAGTTTTCTTTGAACTTATAAGTAAACACTTTACTCACAATCTTCATTTAAGTGTAGGAAAGGCAACATGACATAGATAGATAGTTACCATGACCAAATTCTGTTCTGACAGGATAGGATAGTGTACATGTCAAATAATATTTGAAAGAAATATTTTAGTTTGCATGACTCGAGGAACATTTGTTGCATCAGAATATATGAAAAGTTTAATGATTGCTTTGAGTGCACGTACCCTTTGTAGTGTTCAAGGTAATGTAAAGTAGGAGAGTAAATTTTTCCTTCGTAGCAAATTTAATGTACATTCTGTTGAAAGAGAGCTTTAAACTCACCTGATAACTTTTTATATAATCTTTTTGATAACATATGTACTTGATAATAAAGTGAGTACTGTACATCAAAAACCTGATGATCCACATCGACAGTGGAGTTGAATAAACAAGATGCTGTATTTTTGAAAGTTAGTGTTTTGCAAGTACAGTAATTTGTATTGTCATTGATTTTAAGAATTTGCCTGTTTTTACAGATGGCATAAATCATCCTTCTTTTCAATTGCAAAATCATTTGCTAACATTTATGTATATATTATACAACCTGTATCAGGATTTTTTTTTCAAGTTACTCTTCATACTCAAGTATACCAGCACAGCATTTTTTTTTTTTTTTTTCAAAATTAATTCCTCATGGGCTTTTTGCTTCAGATTAATGTGTGTACTAGCTAAAAAAAATTAGACCAGATATAAAGCATTGTAGCTCAATACTTACAGTATAGTGGCCAGCTAGTCAGGACAAGTATGGTTGTGATTTCTTATAAAGGAGTGAGACTGCTGCATGACTTAATGGACAGTGGTTTATATAGGTTGTTGTTTTTTGTTTTGATTTTAGCTATAGCTCTGCCAATGTAGAAAGTTTTATGCACCATGGCAGCCACACCCCCAGTTTTTGGGTTCATGAGCAACGACTTGAAAGAAAGACAGATACGTATTGCCTTGTTTATAAGCTACAGTACTATGCTTGAATACAGGAAATAGCTTTTTAAATGTAGAGTTAGTAAGCTAGCTAGAGTGACAACGTTAGTTCAACACAAGAAATATGGTACCTGCTACATTATAGTTTGGGCTGCAGCTGTTCATAGCTAATATGGTCATAAATCAAGCAGAATAAATTAGGAAGTCAGCAGCAAATAACGTTAGCAATGTCAGTTATTTGTTTCTTCCTAAATTTTCCCATGTAAAATATTTCAGGATTGGTTACTGTCATAGACAAGGGAGTCTGTATAAACAATTTGCTTTTAGTACATTAAATAATGGAAATTGTTGTTTATATGGGTGTTTTTAATTTATGTCTCTTTGCTTCATATAGGAAAAATTTTCTTGCTTTTTTAATAAACTACTGTATAAATTGTTTTACAAAAAAAGAACATCATTGTATAATTTCTGTATTTGAGGTAAATATCCAAATTATAATTTTTTTATTTAATGATTGGGAATTAAATAATAAAATGTTGACAAATTTGTTGAACTTATAAGATAAAAACACAAATGTATTACTAAATACTTTCTGCCCCTAAGGGCTCAGCTGATTCAAATTAATGAACACATGTAATTTTGTAAATATTATTGGTATTTTTGTGCCATACAATGAACTTTTAAAATTTTATTTGGCTCAGGTGCATTTCATCACTATATCAGTGACTAAAATAAGGATTCAGGACTGCATATGCAGTTTATTTTGAAAGAAATGAACTAAATTTGAAGACAAAAAATCAGATAGTGGAAAAAAATGCATATTGCTGTGAGAAGTTTTGGTATTCCAGTATATTCATTGTTTCATAAAATCTTGTAAATAAATTAAGGATTGCTCTCAGATATCAGCATAAACTTGTTATTTTAATGAAATATTAAAGAAAATAATCTTAGTGAAAGGTTTTCAATACCAGAAAACAGTCCTGACTGCCTTTCATTTGCCTTTGGTTTTGTCTACCCTAAAGTTCAAAACAATTCCGTGCCATCATATTGTGCGATTCTTTGCTCAGTCCTGTTTCGTGTGTGGGGTCACTGAACAGATAGTTCTGATTTCAAAGTTGTCTTTTTTTCTCTACCAAAGTGTATGAGTGTTTTATAATAAAAAATATGAACACCTATAAGATATGACCCTTATCAGTGTAACATTGTGAATTAAAGAGATATTTCAATATCATTTAAGAGTTCAGTCTGTTTTATTATGTTTCTTACTCACTGTCTGTACAATCATTAGTCAGATTGTCTTGATAAGTCACCAAGTTTTATGTGGGTTTACTTAAGTGACTCCACACACTTTTGTTTTGCTGTCTGTGTACATGTATGAGTTCATCAATATGCTTGAAAATGACATGATGTTGGAGTTGCTGTTATTAAAAGTAATGTACAGTATACTGATGTTTCAGATGTACATTAGCAGTGGTGTGTTGTGGAATGTCAATTAATTCAAGAAACTTGCCACCCAATGTCATTTGTGCTCACCTTTATCTTTTATGTTTTATATGTAATTGTACGGTAATTACATTACTTTGTTGACATTCAATGAATAATTTTGACCTGCTAACTAATACCTTTTTCATGGTTTATTCTTGCGTGAAGTCAGAAATTTAAGTCAGTGCTGTTTGAACATATGAAATGCAACCTTTCAAGAGATCCCAGTGTGGCTGGGCTTTATCATAGAAATTTCTGTTTTAATATGGTGCTGTGTAGGAGTGAGATATTAACTGATATTTGTATCTTATGTAAAAGTTTCTCAGAATGAATGAAAAGCAAAAACAAGTTAATGATTAGTGTTTTATATATATATATATACATATACATATACGGTACATATACATATACATATACGGTACATATACATATACATATACAGTACATACATATATATATATATACATACATATATATATATATATATATACATATATATATATATATATATATATATATATATATATATATATATATATATATATATATATATATATATATATATATATATATATATATATATATAGAGCTTTGAGGATTGCTTATGCAGTACAGTATATATTTTGTGTAAATGGTATACCTGTATACAAAATTTTATCTTGAAAGCTTGACTAATTTCTGACTTCATATAAATTATGCTTTAATTTTTTAGTATTTACAGTCAGAAAATGAAGAAGATTTAAAAAAGAAAAATAAATATCTTCAACTTTGCCTTATATTTATACTAGAGAAAGATGGTTGTATATCCACACTTACAAAATGTTCTCTTTTGAGTGGAGACAACTACTGTACTTCACTTCAATGCTTTCTTTGGTCAGCATCAGTAAATATGGCTAATAAATACTTTCCAAAATGATTTCAACCTTGGAAAGTACTTGTATACCTGATAATGTCAGGGTAGAGGATGAATGATATTCATTGTGATAATAAAAAGGAAGATGATAATATATTGTTACTATACATTGTGTAAAACATTTTTCTTACTTGTATTGGTGGCAGAAAAGATGCACCTTCTTGACACATGTACTGTATTTAATTCATGAACTCTTACTCAAATACTGTAGTAAAATTGGTCTGCTAAAAACACGTGACTTCTAATACTTGGGTTGTGGGTCACACCTTCACTCACCTTGTACTGCATATTGAAAATGTTGCCAGTTAATTGTTTTTATTTCTCTCTTAATGTTAAGAATCTCAAAATTTATTGCTTACTTTACAGCAACCATAAGGTATGATTTTTTTTATTGCATGTTGATCCTGTGTCAAAAATCATTCCATTATTTATTTACAATTGTTATGCAGTAAAAAAAATAAAATTGGTAAATTGGAACTGCAGGGATAAATGTTATTATATTTTCTCTGGTATTTGCTAATTTTAATGTTTCTTTTAACTGTGTACTGTTTGATGTTTTATGATATTTTTTATTTGATAAATTGTGTGATATCAGTGATCATATTTGCTAGAATATACAGTACTATTGTGTCATTATGTTTATATACTTTACCCAGTGACTGGCTTGTACCACTTACAAATAAAACACTTTGTCCTTGTCCTCTCTTCATATATCCACATACTGTACAGTATTCAAGAAATTGTTGCTCGTATTATTTTTTTTTTTTCATGGATAGAAAATCACAGTAAGAATGAGGGAGCAGTTTTTCTGTGATTAATGATATACAGCATGTATGTTATTCAGGGGGATCCTGGGGTTGTAGACCCTCCCTTTCTTCAGAAAATTCCAATACTGTACATGTCTTTTAATATTGTACTCAGGCGTTTTTGTATCATAAAATGTGATTACTATTGACCTTAGAATGTCTCCTAATATCAAGTGCACATGGTCTCCAAATGCCTGTGATATTGGTCAGAAAAAGAAAAAAAAATTTCCTGACCTCCACCTTGGTGGGAGGTACTCTGTGATGACAACCTTGCCAGAAGACAAGGCATTTTGGACAGAGTTTATTGGACTATATGAGGCAAACCCTTGCCTGTGGAAAATATAATGTATAGTAGCTTTTCTGACAAACAAAAAGGCAGCTGCCTATGACATAATTGTTAACAAATTAAAAGAAAGATGCTTCAGCCACAAGGGATACAGTATCAGAGAAGATTAACAGCATGTGTAGTGCATTTCAGAAAGAGGTCAAGAAGGTTGATGAATTCACAGAAGTCAGGTGCCAGTGCCGATGATATATACCATCCAAGCTTATGGTATTACAACTTGCTAAAGTTCCTGAAGGCTCAGGAAATGCCAAGGAAGTTGGTTAGTTCTGTCAACCTAGCTTGAGAAAATATCTATCTCTTCAGTAGCCAGTCTTTAGACTATTTCTCACGACCGCCTTTACTATAAAGGTGCATCAGGCGAACCTATTGGCTGACACCATCCTGCCAATGATTTTTTACTTAAATGCTGTAAGCAGTCTAGATATGATGTGACGGCCAACATCACCAGTAACTTACTGAGTTAAATGAGATAATGTATTCAGGAAGAGACAGTTCTCGGAAACAGGTGACTGATCATAATAAACTCACGAAACTTTTAGGGTGGATGTAAATGTAGTCGGAAATATTCACTCTTCAGCAGCCATGTGAGCCACTGTACTTTGTGTGTGTGTGTGTGTAGTAGTAGTACTGTATATAGTGATAAAAAGACAATGAGGGAGGCCCAGCAGTACTTACTTAATTTGCAGCACAGCGTAGGTTGAAGAGGTTTGCATTGGTGAGACACGGCAATTGAGGAGCTTCCCTGTCCTCCCACTCTCATACCCCTCATTTACCACACTGAGGGAACATGAAAGGAGGTCATAAAAAAGAAAATCAGGTGGAAACTTCATCAGTGAATGAAAAAAAAAATCAATGGCCTATTGGAACCATCTTGGAAAGAGTAGCAAGGACCCATCCAACCACTCCAGAGTTCAAACTAGGAAGACTTGTACTGGGATTTTTCACCCAATTATTTGACAAATTTCCCTATGTGCTACTATAAGTTTTGGCCCACACAATATCATGCAGAAATGTTGTATAATCGAATTTATAACATTTAACATGCAATATAAAGAGGTTAGAGGCCTTTGAAATTTTGTTTAAATTTGGTAACAGCAGCCTTCACAAGTTCTGTAGTGTGAATGTTGGTGAGCTTTGAACGGTACTTGTTTTCACAAAGGTAAACAAATACAGTTCAGATTCTTTTGCAATAACAAAGAATTCCTCTTCTCAAAGAGGGTTAAATTTGCGATTTTCTAATGCA